TACATACACAGACGCGCGTGCACATAACACATGCACAGAGAGAGAGAGAGAGAGAGAGAGAGAGAGAGAGAGAGAGAGAGAGACAGACAGACAGAGAGACAGAGAGACAGAGAGACAGAGACAGACAGAGAAAGATGGAGAGAGAGATAGATAGGTAGATGGTAGATAGATGATAGATAGATAGATAAATAGATAGATAGATAGATAGAGTAATGAAGGCTTCTGTCTCAGCTACAAATTTAACTGACTTCCAGTTTTTTATTAAAGATTTTTCTTTTAAAGATTTTATTTATTTATTTATTTATTTAATATGAATACACTGTTGCTTTCTTCAGATACATCAGAAGAGGGCATCAGGTCCCATTACAGAGATGGTTGTGAGCTACCGGGTTGTTGCTGGGAATTGAACTCAGGACCTGTGGGAGAGCAGTCAGTGCTCTTAACCGCTCAGTCATTTCTCCAGTCCCAACTCCCAGTTTTCATGAAAGAAAATGTTGAGTTGGTACATGGCCCAGGGGAAAGAGTAAGAGGGAAATAACAGTCTACTAACTGGAGGCTTGTAGCCCTAACCATGTCTACTAATGTTCTCTATCATTCCTGATGATAGAGTGAATATGAAAGAAGAAAGAAAATACTATTATATTTTCTTAAATTTTAACTTATGTTCTAAATCAATAGATGTGAACAAACAGTAGGACCACGAATAGTGAAGTCTGTGTACTCAATAACAAAACACTCTGGGCCATACTCCTGCTAAAGGAGGCTATGCCTCTTCATTGATGAGGTCAAGGTTATTGGTATCAGAACAACACATTTGAGTTCACAAGAACCTCACCCTCAATTTGGCTACCCTTGGGATGGGTGATTGTATATTAAAGAGACATTTTCAGGAAAGAGAGGCAGAAAATAGAGAGGAAGGAAACTAGAAAGAAAAGGTGAACTATAGAGAATTATTCCTGGGCTCAAGCCTTTAATTAGACATTCAAAGTCATATCTCAGACTACCAAATGGTAGTCAGAACCAAGATTGTTCTGGGCATCTCTGGAGGCCATCTGGAAGATGAAATGTTTTTATTCTTATTTATTTACTTTTATGCATGTTTGCCTGTATGTATGTATATGCATTGAATTCCCTAAAACTGTAGGTAAAGATGACTATGAACTGACTGACACATGGATGCTGGAAACTGAACTCCAGTCCTCTGCAAGAGCAGCATATGCTCTTAATTGCTGAGCTAGTTCCATTTCCTTTCTTAAAAAAAGAGCATGCATATTCATATCCCAGATGGTCTCCAGACCATTTTAAGAAACACATTTTCAAGCTCAGCCAAATATTGAGTTGGGGGACAGCCTGGGTTGTGTTTTTGTCTCAAAAGGAAACATTTTTCTGACTTTTAGATAAGGTCTCCCTATGTACCCCCAGATAGCCTCACAATTGAAGAGACTCTTCTCCCTCTACCCTGGTCAACACAGCTCTTCCTCATCAGAGGAAAGGTAAGAACTTCTCCTTTTCATGGTGGAGGTGGCCTAGTAGTTTGTGTATGGTCTGTCTTTTCTATGCACCTATAGGAGTTCCAAGTCCGACTGCTCTCCAGAAACAATGAATTAATGAAACTGGAGCTACCTAACCTTCACTTTTACACAACCATAGCTTTTCTGAGATCAATACTAATAATCACTGTTGATGCTATTGTGACAAAACAACCTAGAAAGCAGCTAACAGAAGCAGAGATGCAGTTTGGAATAGCTAGAGGAAACAGACATAGTTTGGGACAAAGTTTCAGAATTTCCCTTTCATCATGACTGGGAGGCTGTGCAGAACTGAGCACATTATATGGAAGACAAGAAGCAGTGAGAGAAAATGCCTAGCACAGGCTTCCTCCTGTTCAACTTCAAGTACAGTTTTTAGGATGTTGTCACATACATTCAAGGTGCCAGTGCAAGGAGAGACAGAGAGGAGCAGTAGAGAGGCACAGTGTCTGAGTATAAGGCTCTGTGTCTTTCTTCCTCATGCTCCTTGTGGTACGCAGTACAGTTTGGCTCATAGAAATATCATCTCTTCCCATTTAAGCTTTAAGCTGCCACCCTTCCTTGTCTCTGTGTAGTTTCTTTCTTTCTCTCTTATAAGGGTACCCATCCTTGAATGTGATCTTCTCCATCTCCACCAGTGCAATATCTCATGATCCTTACACTAACTTAGCTTGATGACACACAATGACCATTACCTGAATGATGGTCACCTCCTATACAGGTGGTACATTTTTTGAAGACAAGCATCAATATTTTGCCAGTAGCTAACATGCATGCCCATTCATGTGTACTTGGTACCTAAAACTTCTTAGTGTAACATAAGTGTTTCTTTATATCTCAAGACAATCACAAATATGCTGTTTCTCTCTTCCCTTCTCTACCCCACCACCAAGGAGTACTAATGACAGAGGATGAATAACCTAGAAGGACTGACTTCTTATTGTTCATACTAGAGATAAAACCAGGGCCTCTAGTGTGTTATCACACACTTTACAAAGACCCTGTACCATAGCTCTCTGAGTGCTACGGTACTCAGAAAAAGGTGGCATATTAATGACTATTTTGAACTTTGTGAGTCACTGGATAAGAAGATTCTTGTAGTGACAAAACAAGTCCCAAGAGGAAGGAAAAACCCATACCAGAGCATGGAAGGTGAAAGATGCTCTAGCATCAAAAATCCAACAAAAAAATGGCTGTGGACTCAGGCATTGGATTTCTCATTTTACCTATTTAAAAGTGTGCTCAGTGCTAGGAAGATGGCTCAGTTCAATAAGCATAATGTGAGAATTGAAGCTCAGAGCACTTAAAATCTGGACAAGTATAGTGGCAGGAAGGCAGGTAGGAAGGTAGACACAGGGGATCCCCAGGTCAAGCAGGATAGAGCTGCTGTGCTCCAGATTCAGAGAAAGGCCATGCCTTGGTAAATAAAGTAAAAAGCAACTGAGGAATATACCTGATTGCAATTTATACACACATGTCAACACACATACAAAAGAGGATATGTGTGTGTGTCCATAGACACACAAAAACATGCTTATAGAAATTTTTTTATTGGATATTTTATTTACATTTCAGATGTAATCCCCTTCCCACCACAGCAAGGAACCCTATATCCCATGCCCCCACCTCCTGCTTCTATGAGGATATGCCCCTACCCACCCTCCAACTCTCACCTACCCACCCACGATTTTTCCCCACACTGGGCTGTCCAGCCTTCACTGGACCAAGGACTCCCTCACCCACCTATGCCTGACACTATCATCCTCCCCTACATATACAGCTGGAGCCATGGGTCCCTCCCTATGTTCTCCCAGGCTAGTGGCTTAGATCCTGGGAGCTCTGGTTGGTTGGTATTGTTGCTCTTCTCATGGGGCCGCAAACCCTTTCAGCTCCTTCAGTCTTCTCTCTCACTCCTCCATTGGGAACCCTACAATCAGCTCAATGGTTAGCTCTGAGCATCCACCTCTGTATATTTCAGGCTCTGGCAGACCTCTAAGGAGACAGCTGTGTCAGGCTCCTGTCAGCATGCACTTCCTGGCATCCACATCAGTATCTACCTTTAGTAACTGCACAAGGGATGGATACCCAGGTGGAGCAGTCTCTGGACAGCCCCACCTTCAGGTTCTGTCCCACACTTTGTCTTCATATTTTCTCCCATGAGTATTTTGCTACCTCTTCTAAGAAGGGCCAAAGCACCCACACTTTGGTCTTCCTTGTTCATGAGCTTCATGTGGTCTGTGAGTTGTATCTTGGATATTGCCAGCTTTTGGGATAATACCCAATTCTCAGTGAGTACATATCATGTGAGTTCTTTTGTGATTGGGTTACCTCACTCAGGATGATATTTTTTAGTTCCATCCATTTACCTAAGAATTTCTTAAATTTATTGTTTTTAATAGCCGAATAATATTCCACTGTGTAAACGTATCACATTTTCTGTATCCATTGCTCTGTTAAAGGACATCTGGGTTCTTTCCAGCTTCTGGTTATTATAAATAAGGCTGCTATGAACATAGTGGAACATGTGTCCTTGTTATATGTTAAAGCATCTTCTGGGTATATGTCCAGGAGTGGTATAGCTGGGTCCTCAGGTAATGCTATGTCCAATTTTCTAAGGAAATGCCAGACTGATTTCCAAAATGGCTGTACCAGCTTGCAATCCCACCAACAATGGAGGAGTGTTCCTCTTTCTCCACATTCTTGCCAGCATCTGCTATCACCTGAGTTTTTGATCCTGGCCATTCTAACTGGTGTGAGGTAGAATCTCAGGGTTGTTTTGATTTGCATTTCCCTAATGACTAAGGATATTGAACATTTCTTTAGGTGCTTTTGGGCCATTAGAGTTTCCTCAGTTGAGAATTCTTTGTTTAGCTCTGTACCTCATTTTTTTAATAGAGTTATTTGCTTATCCACTTTAGGGTGACATGTTTAGATTAGCATCACTTAGACTTCAAAACATGTGAATGTGGGACATAAGGGTGGATGAGTCCAAGGAGCAATTGTGAAACTCATTTCTGTTATTAAGCAAATGAGGCTAGAGTGTAGAGAAGAAAGGTGAGGATGGGGTAGAATGGGTTATTCCAGACACTGCACAATGCCCTTCTTCATTGTGGTTCACCACCTCTCTAATCTCTGATTTTACACCTGAGAGGAGAGTCACAGAGTGCCTTACATGACTCTGACGAATTTCCTACAGCTCCAAGGACTTGACTGTTACTTGGCATCACTTTCCAGACAACCCCTTCTCCAATACTGTGTGTCCTCTAACCAGGTTGGTGACTCCCTGGGTGGTGTGATGACAGACTATTCTGCCCTGGGGACATTGTACCAGGGCTCCACTGCTGCTGGCATGACAGGAGCCTCTCTGACCTGGCATTTGCTGGAATCAGTTCACATGGGAATGCTTCCAGTATCTATATAGGCTATGGTGCTCCTTTGAAGGTTATAAGGCACCTGGATTTGTGTATGAGAAGTTCCATGAAGTCTTCTCAGGGTACAGGTTTTCCTCAGCTCCCTTTGAAGGAATATGAACACCATGCTTTACTTGCTGGGATTTCTCCTTACTACCATGTGTCTCTTGGTCCTGGGAGTCAACGTGTGGGTTCTCATCGATCACCTCCTTACTATTGATGTGCCTCCTTCCATCCCACACCCCATGAAGTTTCGGATTCTACACTATTGCTTTCATCTGACAACCACATGGGTAAATTTTGTTTCTTAATAATCATGTCCTGCCAGGGTAGACTGAACTTCAGCCTGAGGAAAGCATTTTGTAAAGATTCACATTGTCTAATAGCCAGTGTGTGTTGGTCAGTAGTGATATGCCAGGCAAGGTGCTGAGGACTTTTTAAGAGCAACGTGTGTTCCCTCTCACTTCTTTGACTTCATGCAAGAAGAAGGAAAATAAGTAGTTTACTAGGAGGCACTCAGGAAGGGTTTATTGAGGTCATCTAGCCTCCTCTCAGCACAGACTGACTGAAATCTAGGTCACTCTGTTCCTTCCTTCTTGATATAGGAATATGTTAAAATACCTTCCCAGAGAATATGGCTCAGGAACTCTGCTATCCCAAGAATATCTCAGAAAAGATGGCAAATGCTGTCTTTCCAGTAGAGGTCATGGAGGCTTTGTGTAGGGTCCATCCAAGATCCAGAGCATCTTCTAAAGTCATCAGCGCTTCTTATAATGAGAGAGAAGAGCATGTAACAATACAATAGGAATTAAATATGACAAATGAGGTCCACTGTTGTGCCTTGCTTTATCCATGCCTCTTCTGTCTATGAATGTGTTTAGAACTGACAGATAATTCATTAATTCAGTCACAGTCTCAGCTCTACAGTGGTTACAGAGCTGAGCTGCTCATTATGGAGAGACATACATAGCTCTCAGGGTCTAGTCTTGCCTCTTTTCCTTTTGGGAATTACAGCAGTCATGATCTCAGATTTATTAATGATAACCTCCCCATCAGCTGTCTTCTCCACATTTGGAGAGTATAATGCTGTCACTCTCCAAGGTCATGGTTGATGCTCAAGAAACAAAGAAAAGGCAGTCAGCCTTTGAAGAATTTAGTTTGTTCTGATTTCTAAAATGTACTTCCTTTATTCCATTCAGGCAAGCCTGAAACAGATGATGGTTGCTCCCTGTTTCATGGTTGAGGGAACTGCAAAGAAGAGCATAACCAATTTCCCTTAAGTACAAAGTTTGGGGAAGCAGTGTAGGCTGGAAGTAGGTATTTTAGCTGCAAAGTCCATGTAGAGGGATCTCAAGTCCATGACATGTTCTGTACCAATCCTCAACTTTGCTGTGAACTCTGAATAGGAGACTACCCAGAGTCATGTGGACCTAGGACCAGAAAGATTGGTTTTCCTCTCATTCCCTGAAGTGATGGGTAAAGAATGAACAAAGGCTCCACTGTTCTTTGGAAATCCAATACAGCATGGTGGAGATGAGCTAAGACTGACATATAAGCAAGCTATTGGGCCACAAGTCTTTTCTACAAAGACTGCCAGAAAATGGCTCTTCTTTCCTTACTGTTCAAATCTCCAATGCCCTAGATGTTTGTGAACAGCTTTGGATATTCATGCATCTTGGGAGAAACCAATTGTACCACATTCAAGTGGAAGATTTGTGCAGATCCCACAGTTGAGAAGGGCAGCTACAAGGACAGCATGTGAAGAGTAGAAAGGAGAGAAGCATCTTGAAATTCTCCAACTGTTCTCTCTTTTCTACAGGGGGATATACTTGAGAAGATGAATATTTGCTCCATGCCCCAATTTTTCAACTTTGTACATGATAGCCTTGTGTTGAAGGAGAACCTTGGTGTGTTTGTGAAGGACCTGTATTTTGGCACCATCCCTGTGAGGCTATTTCATCCCAAGGCAGCCTCTTCCAAACCCCGGCGAGGCATCATCTTCTTCCATGGAGGGGGAGCATTGATTGGCAGCTTGGGTAAGAAAAATCCCTGTAGTACAGAAGAATAGAGACCTCAGAACCTTCACAACTCAACCCACTTTCCATAATGGTATCTTGGGAGGGAGTTAAAGCAAGCAACCATTGGAGCTCCTTTTAATCGGGAACAGATTAAGACTGAAGGTCATGTCAGCCAATGTTGTGTCTCCATAACCATGCTGTCTTCAGTGCAACATCTCTATTGATGTAGGGACAGTGATGGACTACTAGGGCTTCCATTGATTAGGTGTAATGCCAAACTCCCATTTCCTTTTATTCCACAATGATCCCAAACCCATTCATTGCTCTCAGCTCCAAATCCATTGTCACTTGCTCACCCTCTTCAGTCCTGAATCTAATAGTGGTCCTACTGCTCCATTGTCAACAGCTGGTCTTGTCTCCACACCTTAAAGATCTTTAAAAATACAGTTCAGGACTAACTATTTGGTATTATATAACCAAATAGTGTTTCTTCCTTGGGAAAGACATTTTTTTTTCTCTTGGCATTCTTTAGTTGCCTGTAATCCTTTGTGTAAGGTTGAGGCCTTGTTGGCTTTCCTTTGTCTAAGTTACTGTGTCTTTTGTTGCCATCTAATACCACATAGTTCTGAAAAAAACCATACAAGTAGTATTATACAGACTATTTATACTTATATATTTAGGAATATATGTACGTATATGTAAGTAACAATCATTGAAGAAAGAGACCATACATTTTAAAGAGAACAAATGAGTGTATAGGTGGGGGGCATGTAGAGGAAAGGGAATATTTTATCTAAAGATTCTCCTTGCCACTCTGAAGTCAGACCCTTAGACCAATGGATCCATTCATGTTATCTTTCTTGTGACAAGAACTTTTCACAGAGCTTACTTTGTCAATGTTTATTCTTTGTCTGTTCCCACCTACCATGGAAACATCAAGAGTGCAGGGGATATCAAGCATGGTGGTACACACCTTTAATCTCAGCCCACTGGAGGCAGAAGCAGGTGTATCACTCTGAGTTTAAGGCCAGCTTGGTCTACAAAGGCAGTGCAGCCAGGGCTCTGTTACACAGAGAAACACTATCATAAAATGTATTACCAAACAAACAAACAAACAAACAAACAGACTGGAAAAAAAAGTTCAGGAGAAAACTGTGTGCTGTATCTATCTGTGAAGTCCCCGAGTCCAGAGAACTAGCTTCAGTGCCTGCTCTCATTGGCCTCCCAATCAAAGTAGGAAACTGGATGGATATTACAGAACACAAATGGGAGGGTGCATGGTTTTAGACTGAACAATGTGGGCATAGAATAAGGAGTTACTTAGAGTCACAGCACCTCAATGTTTCTAATCAGTCAGTCTCTCCAAGAAAGTGAGATTTGAGGATCAAGGTATGGGAGGAGTCAATGCTGCATAGCTGTAAGGCATCTGCTGTAAGGCCTGGACTGAAAATAAGAGATTCCAGAAAGTCAGCCTCTAGGATAAACAATATTATACTTCAAAATAAGAGTAAGGAAGAGATGGTTCACAGGTTAGGACTGCTCACTTCTCTTGCAGAGGATCATAGTTCAGTTCCCAGGGAGTACATCTGGAACCTCACAAGTAATTCCAGCTCGAGGAAACCTGACATTCTCTTCTGACTTCCATACTCCTCAGGTCCATATACCCTCCACATAAATACATACACATAATTAACAAATAAATTCTTTAAAAAGACTAGGGGGAAAATTCCACAAAGGACAAAGAATTCATATGAAAACAGGAAATAATGAAGCTGAGTGCCTTGTACAAACACAATGTAGGAGCTTATCCTAAATATTTTCAGTTTTTATATAATTATACGGGACTGCATAAGGCCATTTTTAACACAACTATATAATATACTTTGAGCATAACCCCTCTGTATAACACTACATTCTGCCTTCTCACCTCATTAGTCTCATTTACCCTTTAGACAATTTTACTTCTAATTTTATATATTCATATATGATTTTATAAGTCTGTATAAAACCTGGCACCCACAAATGGGAGAAAATGGATAACATTTACCTTTATGAGACTGACTTAATGGAGGTAGATGCCTGGCTTTGCCATGTCATGGTTGACTGTGTGTCCTCAGGAAAAACAAGACTAGGAACAGAGATATCAGTCCATGGTCACCATATCAGCTCCTTTCCTGGTACTGTGTGGGGATTCCTGGGCCCTCTTCATGCAGTACACCAAGCCTGGTCTTCTCTTGCAGACTATTACCACAACCTGTGTGCCTTCCTGGCTCGAGAGACAGACTCAGTGTTGATGTCAGTGGGGTGAGTAGTCTCAAATGCTGGGTGGCTTATCTACAGCATAGGGGAAAATATAAGGAATGGCAGTCCTCGATGTCTTTGTCCCCAGAGAAACACTCACACATGGACATAGCATCATGCAAATGAGAAAAGGGCCTCATCATTGGGGGAGTGAGTGGGCTATCCACGGTGATAATTAGTTACCCTCATTCACTTTTTAAAATGCTATTGCAAATACCAAGGAAATAACCTAAAGGAAGAAGTTACTTTGACTCCTAGTTCCAGAAACTTCATTGCTTTATTGCTATTCTGTAGGGCAGAATATTTTCAGAGTAAAGGGGTATAATACATCATACCTTATGGTAGCCAGAAAGCAAAGAGAAAAGGGGCCAAGGACAAGGTGCCATTCAAAAACACACCCTGAGATGTCTATATCTTACAATGAGTCTTATATTTCAATAATGCTATCAAATTATAAATCAATTAAATTCCATCAGACTTCTGACATCAGACTTTTACAGTCCAGTTATATATCAATAATTTGGTCCATATCCAGGGAGCAAGTTGCTAACATAGACCTTTTAAGGAAGACTTTATACCTATACAACATCCCACCCTGCATATCCAAGACTGATTGTCAACTCAAAATGTGAAATGCAACTAGTTCAATAGTCCCTAAGTTTAATAGTCCTAGTCTTGTTCAGACATTCAATTTCAACGTCTTCTGCAACTTCGGCCAATTCTCAGCTATGAGTTGCCACATAATTAAAAGTGCAAATTCCATTCTTCCAACATTCAATGGCACTGGGCAAACAGCCTCACTCACAGAAAAAGAGTTGGTGTCATAGAGGGAAAAGCTAGGTTCAAGAAAGACAAAAACAAACCAGTGCAAATCATGTCTCATAGTTCCCTGCCCTTATCTGGGTGCATGGTGGAATGGTTTAACTTTCAAAGGATTTGGACTGTCATACTTCTATATCTCTGCTGGCTAAAGTCTGCTTGGCTGCCCTCTAAGCCTTCATCTGCTCTTTGCCTATGCTGTTCTTTATCATATTGTTCAAATTCCTATGATCTTCTATTTCCTCAGGTCTCTACTGGAGCAGAGCCTTCACCTCACAGGTTTACATATTCCTTCTCATGGGTATGGTGCATGAACCCAACTGTCTTATACTTTACTTGGTCTCCCAGGCTTACCTTTGGACATAGGTGGAAGCTTCCACAACTAAGTGACTATATTTTAAATGTTTGCATGTTTAACATTATGTGGATGATGCCTACCTTGCCACCAACTGCAACGCTAGCTGAGCTCCTTAGAACATGTCCATGTTGTACTTTGAGTCTGGGCAACTAGCTATGGAAATGAATCCTGAGAAGGCAATTTTCTAGGTAGACCATTGCAAGCAGAATACCCTGGCAGTACTATATTCTCAAGCTAAAGTTCTTCTACAAAGTTTGCAGTTTTATCCTGAAGTCTGTCATGGGTGAGGTCTGTCCAATTGCTAAAGTACCCTGAAGGATTCTTTCCCTCTGCCTCAGCACAAAGTAGTTTAATATTTTTATTTATTTATTTATTTATTTATTTATTTATTTATTTATTTATGTGTGTGTGTGTGTGTATCTGTGAGTACATGTACACATGTAGTTAGGGGTGTACAAAGAAGCCAGAAGAGGCCATAAGATCTCTTGGGACTATAGGCATTTGCAAGACACCCACTGTTTGTGCTGGGATCCAGACTATGGTCCTCACAATTGAACAGCAAGCACTCTTACTCACTAAGCTAGCTCTCTAGCCACTTGATTTGTTTTTAAAGGTTCTAAACTCTGTAACAACTGCATCTTACAACTCTTCTTACAAACTGTAGATTTTCTTTCTGTTCTAATTTTTTCTTAGTTCTCACCCGCTAAACGGGCTGGTGAGATGGCCCATTGAGTAAAAGTGCTTACTGCCAAACCAGTACATGCTCTTAAAACTACTATGACGTGAAATCAAATTATGAACCCACCAGTAAAAATGCTGGTAGCTTTAAGGCATGGTAATCTCTCAATGACTGGATCAACAACCTGGGCACTCAGATTTAAACAAGGAAGTCTTTTAAGGGGCCGTGTGATATTAGGAAATATTACATAACCTTAGAACCATGTGGGTATGCCAAGATAAGGAGATCTTAACAGGATAAAATTAAGGGAAGTATGCTCAAAAATTAACGGCTTAATAACTTCTATGCAAAGTCAAATTAAGTAAAATCAATAGAATTTCTTCCAGGGTTGGAGAGATGTCTCAGTGGTTAAGTGTATGTACCACTCTTGAAAAGACTCCAGTTCAGTTCCTAACATTCTCAACTATCTGTATTTCAGATCTAGGGAATCTGAAATACAATACCCTTATCTGTCTCTCTAAAGCCTATATGAACATGTACACATACACATACTCACTGTTTAAAACAAAAAAGTAAAGATCTTCTAAGTAAACAGACTTAATGACATAATGTAAATAGAAAAGGCTAATGGGGCACACTCATTAGAGCCTTTCTTTCTGAGGTGACCTGGAGTATTATGAAACAGCAGCAAAGGGTGGCTGGAAATCAGTCATTCCTGGATGGTGATTCTGCAAGTACTCATTACATTGCTAAATAATTACTGTCCTACTTTGTTTTCTGTCTCTGTGATAAAGCATTCTGACCAAAAGCATCTTAGGGGAGGAAAGGGTTTATTTGGCTTTCACTTTCAGGTCACAGGCAGGGCAGGAATTCTAGCAAAAAATTGAAACAAAACCATAAAGGAATACTGCTTACTGGCTTGCTCACATGCTCGTACTTAGCTATCTTTATCATACAGGCCAGGATCAGGAGCTTTGATCTGTCAAGGGACTTACTTCAGTGGACAGTGCCTGAGAGATATGCCTGAGATATACTGGCAATGAGGAAAGCTTTCTCTCCTCTTCTCTCCTTCTCTCCTCTCCATTCCTTCTTCCTTCCCCCTTCCTATCTCTTCTCCTTCCCTTCCTTCTCTTATCCTTTCCTCCTCTCTCTGTTGCTCCACTCCCTTTCTGCTCATCCCTTCCCATCCCCTCTCCTCTCATTTCCCCTCTATAGATTAAAGCAACTACACCTTGATTTCACTGTTATTTCCTCTATCTCTGCTTACAGGAACAGTGAGGCCAGCCAAACTTTCTGTTACCTCTTTTCTATCATTAAAGTTTTTTTCTGTCTTCATGTTTTTTGGTTGTGGACCTAGCCTTTAACAGTCCTTGTTCTATTCCAGTGCCAACAGTTTCCAACTTGCATGGTACATCAATAATATCTGATCAAAACATGGGTTTGAATAGAGAATTTCAGCAACTCTGACTTTTGACAGCACCTTCAAACTCATGGAGGGAAAAATGGGGATGACCATCTTCAATTGCTAGGGCCATGTAGAACATTAAATCAAGTAGACTCTTGAGTGAGTAGAGGATGCAATTCAAAACGCCTCCAGTAACTCCTACCTACATACTGATGTGCTATCCTCTGTCTTCCTTCTGTAGGTACCGAAAGCTTCCTTATTACCACCATCCTTCACTTTACTACGATTGCCTGAACGCCTCCATCCACTTCCTGAAGTCTCTGAAAGCCTATGGGGTAGACCGCTCCCGGGTTGTGATCTGTGGAGACAGCATTGGAGGTGGGGCTGCAGTTGCTATCATTCAGACCTTGTTGGGTAGAACAGATATCCCCAAGATCCGGGCTCAGGTTCTGATTTATCCAATTCTCCAGGCATTTTATTTCCAGTCCCCATCACATCTGATGAACAGAAATATCCCATTCCTCACCAAAGATTTCTTGATTACCTGTGTTTGTAAATATCTGGCGATTGATCGCTCCTGGAAAGATGCTATGTTGACAGGTGCGTGTATATCCCCTAGTGCCTGGAAGAAGTACGAGAAATGGTTAAGCCCTGACAACATCCCTAAAAGGTTCAGGACTGAATACCAGCGACATGAGACACCTTTTAATGAAGCTGCTTATCTAGAAACCAGACATACAATGAATGTAGACATTTCTCCCCTCATAGCAGATGACAAAATCATTGCTCAGCTTCCTGAGGCATTCATAGTGAGCCTTCATTGGGACATTATCCGTGATGATGTTTTGCTCTATAAGAAGCGCTTAGAAGACCAGGGCGTTCCTGTGACCTGGCACCATGTGGAGGATGGCTTTCATGGATGCATATTGTTCTTTGAAAAGAAGTTCTTCTCATTCCCCTGTTCCTTGAACATAGTGAATGCTGTAGTCAGTTATATAAAGAGCTTATGAACGACTGCTGCCCAGTGACAGAGCAACTGCTTAACATGCACAAGGCCCCACTCTAATCCAAAGCAGGAAAGAAAAATGAAACTTAAAATACAGAAATAAAATGTAGAAGATATGACAGCATCCCTGGTGTCTTAAATGAGAATGGCCAAGAAAAATTCTGGCCTGTGGGTAGGAGTGAGTCTCATTTTTTTAACCTTTTCTTTTATTCTTTTAATATATAAAATAGTGAATTTTGTTACATGTTTTATATACAAGTATTCCAAACTTTGCTCTTCTTTAATGCACATGACATATCTAATGCCCCTAAGTCCCCTAAATTCATCCTCAAATTCTCTCTTATTTTACACACACACACACACACACACACACACACACACACACACACAAGACAGGGACTCATTATGTAGGCCTGACTGGCCTCGTATTTGCTGTGTAGACCAGGCTGACCTCAAACTTCCAGAGTTCTGTCTGTCTCTACCTTCAGGTGTGTGTCACCATGCCCAGTACATCATTAATTCTCTAATGGTTTTTGCTGATGTAGCATAGAATCTTGATGTAGTTTTGATTTGTATTTTCCTGATAACCAAAACTGTTATTTTGTTTTCTAATATTTATTGGACACTTATGATTTTTAAAAAATTATTGTTTGATTCATCTTCCCATTTGTTGATTGGATGACTCAGATTTTGGCAATTAATCTTTAGATTTCTATGTATTCTGGATTTTAATGCCCTGTTGAGTATATAGTAGACAAAGATTGTCTCTGATTATGCACACTGCCTAATGACTGTTGATTATTTCCTGTGCTGCATGAAGTTTTCAAGTTTGTGAAATTCTATTTGGCAGTTCTTGCTGTTGTTTCCCAGGATATTGCAGTCCTTCTCAAAAGCCATGGCTGTGCCTATATCTTGTGTTATCTATGTTTGCTCAAGCAGTTTTGGTGTCACAGGTCTTAAAGTCTTTGACCTATACTGAACTGATAATTGTTTAGAATAAGAAAACTTTAGAGAAGAACATTTCTTTCTTTAACATGTGAGTTGATTTGGGATTCTCTGTTGTGTTTTTTGTTTGTTTATGTTCTTGTTTGCTTGTTTACTTGGGTTGTCCAGACAAATTTTTGAATGTGAGTTGGTGTTCCCATCCCTCAACTGGGGATCCTGTTTGACTACTGGAGGTGGTCTCTTCAGATTCTATATCCCTACTTTTAGGCATTTTAGCTAAGATCACCCACATTTGAGTCCTTGGAGTTTCCCCCATCCCAAGTTTCTGGGACTTTGTAGAGTTCCTCCACTTCCAACCCCCAACAATGACAGATTTCCATTCATTCTCCTGGTCCTCTGTGCCTCTTTCCTGTCTCCCCACAATGCCTGATTCTGCCCAGGTTTCCTGTCTCATTCCCCTCTCCCACCCAGATCCTTCCCTCCCACTACCTCCCATGATTGCTTTGTTCCCCCTACTAAGTAGGAATGAAGCATCCTCACATGGGTCTTCCTTCTTGTTTAACTTCTTAGAGTCTGTGATGTGTGTCATTGTTATTCTGTACTTTTTGGCTAATATCCACTTACCAGTGAGAGTATACTATGCACGTTCTTTTGGGTCTGAGTTACCTCAATCAGGATGATATTTTCTAGTTCTATTGATTTGCCTGCAAAATTCATGATTTCCTTGACTTTTCATTGTGTAAATGCACCAACCACATTTTCTGTATCCATTCTTCAGTTGAGGGACATCTGGACAGAGCAATGGTGATAAAAACCACATAGTATTGGTACTGAGACAAACAGGCTGATCAATGGAACAGAATTTAAGACCCAGAAATAAATCCACATACCTATGGGCACTTTATTTTTCACAAATAAAGCACCTCCAACAAATAGTGTTGGTCTAACTGGTTGTCTGTATGTAGAAGAATATAAATAGATCCATATTTAGTCCTATATATAGTATATATGGTATATACAGTAGTGGTAACTGGTAAGTGGTTAATTTGTGTTTGACTTTCTTACTCTTGTATTGCTACTGTGACCTTTGTGGAGACAGTGTTTGTGGTTGGCAGTTGATTTTTTTTTTAAATTAAATCTTAAAATGCACCATGCCAGGATTTGCTGGCTTTTAGGGCTTCTGTTGAGAAGTCTTTTATTATCCTGATGGTTTTGCTTTCTTAACCCAGGTAGCAGCTTTTCTCTCAGCTGCAATACTGTTTCTGTAGTGAATATTTTAAATATAACATGAGATGTTTTCTGTTCTTCATGTTTTCTTGGGATTTTAATTGCCTCTTGTGCTGAAACAACTACTACTTTCACTAGATTTGGGGTGTATCTGCTAAATTTTCATTAGATAGGCATTTATGCCTTTGATTTTCAATTCAGCTTCTTCTACCCATAAATTGTCAGGGTTGATCTCTTGATCACATCCCATAGTTCTTGAAGTTTGTGGTTATGGTTGTTTAAATTTTCTAGATGGATGTCATGTTTTCTTTGCCTTAAAAGTCTATTCTTGCTGTTTTTCCCTCAGTGTGATCTGGTTTCTGGATGGTAATTATCACTGTAGTTTGATTTGTTGAGTTTTTTATTCCCAATATACATTTTTTCCAAATCTCAACTTTCTTGCTGAAGTTCTCAAAGGGCTGAAATTCTCAGAGATATTGCTGACTTCCTTATCTAGACCTTGAATTCACTTCCTCATGCTATAACTCTGTTAATATCATCATTAACATCCTTGATCTTTCTTACAATTAGACTTCTGGTTACTTTTATACCGTGTCAACCACTTATGCACCTTAAGAACTGCTCTTTGGAGAGTTGCTGTGCTTTGGGCATTTGTGTTGCCACTTTCTCACTTTTCTTGTTTCTTTGATGCAATTTTCAAAAATCTCTTGCAGCAGCTAAAGTTTCCAGTTTGGTCTGATCAGCAGCATTCTATTAAGGCCTCAACTCCAAATCAACCATTCAGAGTACAGAAAAGAAGTCACTGTCATATCACTACTATCAAATTAGACATAGAAATAGATAGACTTAAAAACTGATTAAATCCAACAACTTTAACACCAGTAACCATGGACATGCAGATGGGATCTTATTAACTGTGGGATTTAAAAACTTAAATGTGATAAAAGTAATAAATGAATGAAAGGCAAAGAGAAGGGACAAAGGGAGCAGAAAGAGGGTAGAGAAAAAGTATAAAGAAACAAAATTTTAAAAATCCAAAGAAATAGAAGAAAGAATAAGAATAGTAGGAATAAGGAGAGAAAGAAATCAAGAGATTAAACAACTGATTGCACAATAAAGAAGAGTGCAACTGGACAAGGCGACACATGCCTTTAGCCCCAGAGCTTAGGAGCCAAGTGGATCTCTGTGAGTTCAAGGCCAGCCTGGACTACAGGGAGAGTTTCAGGACTTCTCTGTTACACATAGAAACCCTAGCTCAAAGAAAAAGAAAAGAGAAAAGTGTATAAATATACTTAAATGTAAGAAGGAAAATAAAATATTTTTAAAGAGTTTTAAAAAGTAAAGTATTAAAATTATAGTAAAAAGATAAAGTACAAACATCAAGGACAAAAGAAAGAAAAAAAGGATTTGAGAAGGTAGCCAAGTGGTTTGCTTTGGGGTACTTTAATATGGAGCCTGCCAAGGGGAGGTGTGGTAAATTGACATAGTAGCCTTTTGTTATTTGTAATATTCTTGCTAGTACTGAGCCTCAGTTCATCAACAATTGCCTGGAGCTCCCCTTTTGTGATCAAGGAATCAGTATTATCTACATATAGGCTAGGAACTTGTGGCCTACTCTTACTCATTCCAAATATTTCCATTTGTGCATCCTAGGATGGTCAGGGGTGGACCATGTCAAGGTCAAGGGTGGCTCTTGAATGTATTGGAGAGTAGGATAAGCATATCGAACATCAGGGTGTGTAATAGAGGACACATCTCAATCCTTTTAGATCCTTCCCATAAGGAAGGAGGGGGATGATAGTGCTCTGGTGAACCTGAATTTCAGCCTTCTTTTTCTTGCTGGCTGGAAAGCCTTTGTCAGAGAGATACTGATAAATAAGCAGCTTATTGATCATGTACTTGCATATCAGTCCTGAAGTTACTCTAAATAGTAGAATTATGCCTCAATATAGAGGGTAGCATCACCCACCACACTACCATAGCCCGAGCCTCTATCTGCCCAATCTTCTCACCATCCTCAGGATTCTTTTTCTTCAAGACTGTATCATGTGGTAATCCCACACCCAGAGAGAGTCTTCAGCCTTCCTCGTTTGTAGTTATCTTGTTTTTAAGCCAACAAACTACATAAGTTTCAAATAGGCCCCATTTCAAGATGGTGTAAGGATGTATTCCTGAGAGATATGGGAAATGCCAAAATAGACTTTTCCAATGTCATATGAGAGGAGGTGTCATATGGCACTGTTTCTGAGGAGACTACTCACCCCAGGTAAAGTACAAACATCAAAGTAAGAACACCACCAAAGTCCAACTTGGTGATTCAATACATTTATTACAGTGATATGGCTAAGGAGCAATTTTTAGAAATAGAAATGCCTCAAGGACAGCTGCATTACAGAGATCATACCTCAGCCTGGCTGATAGCTCACAAAAACTATAACTTTGGAGTACCCTGCACAACTAGAAGGCAGCTTACCAGGTTGTATATGTCATCTCTTCCAAGGAGTTCAGCGGGTTTGTGCCTCTTGTTGGGAGTCAAACTGGTCTGAGCCTCTCTCTCAGCAATCCTCATTATTTATGTAACCTTGAGAAGAGAGGTACATCATGCTTCTTCTCAATTTCAGGAATTTCCTGAAGCTTTTGAGTTGTTTATTTCCAAAGCCAAAGGAACTTTCCTTTAGAACTTCCTGAGTCTTAACTAGCTTCTCAGAGGAAATTAATACTCAATAGAAGTTACAGTCAAACCAGGTTCTCCAACGATTTAAGGAATTTAAGGCATGTGAGAACCTTGAGCTTGCTCTGTAACTGAGACTGACAGCCTCATCTTATTACAGTATTCTGAGGTCCTGGGTAGTTTTATGTCACCTTGACACAAGATAGAGTCATCTGAAAAGAGGGAACCTCAATTGATAAAATGTCTCCATAAGGTCCAGGTTTAGAAAATTTTCTAAATT